ACTGAACAGAGCTCCAAAGTCATCCTGAGCACAGAGCAGGGCAGGGCCACTGGCAGGAATCATCAGGAGCCAGTGCAGGATGCAGGGACAGACGTGCCACCACCCCAGGGCAGCGTGTCCACACGTGGCAGCAGGCTGGAAAGGTGAAGGAAGAAAAGGGAGAAGAACTCTCTGCCCAGAGGTGACAGCAAGCTCAAGGCTCTTACAGGCAGAGCTGGAGCAGAAATGTGGGATTAGGCCTTTTGAGGGCTCACATTGCTTGGTGATGGAGCCAGGGTGGTTTTGATGTTGTGGCTGTAGCTGTAAATGTTGTTCACTGTTCTGCTTTTCCACTGAAACAATTCCATCCATAACCTGTCTGTGTCTGCATGCCGTGGGAAGGGAGTGCAGAGGGCCCCAGGAAATGGCAGCCAAGAGGTGCAAAAGCATCGCTGAGCCCCACAGCAGAGCCAGCAAGCCCCAAAGGGCACCTGGAAGTCCCCAGGCCTGAGTGCCTGGCAGCAGGGCAGGCAGTCCTGGAGGGGGACTCTCCAAGGCCCTTCCCCAGGGGAAGCAGGCAGGGAGGCAGGACAGGCAGAGCTGTGCCAGACTCACGGACACAGCTCTGTGCTCAAAGCAGCCCTGGGCACACCCTGGGTACAATCCTCCCACCTTGGGTCCTTAGGTTCTTCCCCCAGAGGGTGGTTGGGACTGGAACAGCTCCCCAGAGAATGGTGATGTTCCCAAAGCTGCCAGAGCTCCAGGAGTGCTTGGACAATGCTCTCAGGGATGCACAGGGTGGGATTGTTGGGGATTGTCTGTGCAGGGACAGGAGCGGGATCGATGATTGTCGTTGAATCCCTTCCAACTCAGGATATTCTGTGATTCTGTGATTCTCTATTTGACAGTTTTATCAGCTATGGAGAAGAGCTGGGAAAATGATTTCTGTCAGCAGCTGAGGAGAAACTGCAGGAGGAATAGCAACAAAGACAAGGGATTGGAACAAGCCTGGATTAGTGATTTACATGGTGACAAGGTCTAGGCACAGAACTCAATTTTCTACATATCTGCCACAATCACCTTTATATTTCTATACTTTGGTAATCAATTCCTTTGGGAGCCCTCGAGAAGTCACAGCAATGTATCTGTGAGGCTGGAAGGTCTAATACTGCTCTTGGACAGATTAAAGCATCCAACCAGGAATCAAGAAACCAGATTACACTGGCACTTGCTTGGTCTGAGCCGCACCAGAATGGTGAATTCCGTACTCACATCTTCATCAAGGAGGGAAAAAAAAATCAGGAAACACGTCACTTGAAAACCTGAACAGCGTCCAGAGATGTGCAATGACTTAAGAGAATTAGAAAACATCCTTGACAGTGATGAACTCCCAGAGTCCTGTTTATCTTTTCTTGAGGGATGACCGCAGCCTGCAGCACTAAGTCTGGATAACAAAACCTGGATAAAAGCAATCTCTTCATTCCAGGGAAGATAAGCTAAGCTGTGACGGGTGGGAGCCAAAGCCAACCTAAAAATAAGCTGCATATTTTTAACAGTAATCAAGCACTGAATAATCCACTAAAGCCTGTGGAGGATCTTCTTTCACTGCATGTTTTCAGACAAAAAAGAGATTGCTTTTCCAGGAGATGCACACTGCAGCACAAACCTGCCTTCCCAATCCCTGTATTTCCACGGAGATGGCCACACAGGGCTTTATCAGTTTCAAGATACGGCAGATTTTGTTACACGGGGAAAAACGCATCTATTCAAACCACAAAGACTAGGAAATTTAACTCTGATGGATTATATATAGGAAATGTCAGGTCCTGGAAAAAAAAATTGTGTGTATTTTGAGCAAGTTCCTAGGACTGGATGAGTAGGAATTTGTGCAAAGCCCTGGCTGAAAGGAGAGAGGTAAGCCCACGTCCCTTTTCTTCCTGCTCTCTCTCTCTCTCCTCTCTTTTTCCTTCTTCACGGAAAATTTTTAGCATCTGCCATAAAATTGCTGTGCTGGGAATACTGTGATAATTACATGGGAATGCAAGCACCGTGTAGGTGCCATAATCCAGGCTTTTTTTCCTGGTATATTTCTTAATTCAGTGTGTTAGTACATGGAAAGTCTATGTTTAAGTGTAAAGCATAATACACCATAAATAAAAAAATAATCACATCCTACTGCTTGCTTGGAGAGGTAAAAAAATAAGAAAACTTTAAATAAAGTTAGAGTGTAATTTTCAGAGTCTCTCACCCAGACCTCACCCTCTGCAACAAGAGGAGGGGATAGCCCACACTTTCCTGAAATATAAGCAGGATTTATCTAATTTAAACAGTCTTCTGTTTCCATGGAGCCAACAAGCACTAAACCCTTGTGAAAATCAGTTTTTATTTGTTAAGTGGCACGGTGGCTTATTACCATTTAATACTTGGGATTCAGTGACAAGTCAGGGACAGGGCGCGTGAAGTGCCACGCAAGCAGGGAACGCCAGGCTGATTCCTGCCCCCAAGAGCTGTAATTTTCCAGCATCAGCAATCCTGCTGTCACTGCTCTGGATCCCAATCCTCTGCTGTTTTCAGAACAAAGCAGCTCGACTGGGTGATGGGTGACGAAGCAATTTTTCCTGGAGGAATTAATGCAGTGGGAAGGGCACCCCATGATTTAAGGAATACAGAGAGTATTGACATCGAGGTTCAGCCAGGATCACTGGAGTGGAGGCAAGGCTGGCTTTTCAGCAGCTGGAATTTTGGAGCACATCAGGGCTCTGGAACACCTCGGCCAGTTCACCTGTGAGGCTGAGCAGCCAAACACGAGCCTGGTTTTCTGCCCGCACCCCTGACTGCCCTCAGTCCACACAGCAAAGATGGCAATGAAGACAAAACTGGTCACTAAGAGGCAAAAAAAATTCAAGCTTGCAGGTGGAGCCATGAATTCTGAGGGGAAAATTCCATTGCCATCCTTGTGACACTGTGCAGTGCATTTTTTAGGAACACGCTGGCAGAGGGGTGTGGTGAAAATGAAGAGATGGGCAGTGTAAAACCAGTGGATGTCGTCATCTTTAGTGGTTTCTTACAAAGAAAGAGCTGGGAATTGACACCGTGACCATAATGAGAGAGTAACTAATTAGGCAAACACGTTTCAAATGAAATTCACACTTTGTTATTGAGCGTTTCTGGTTCTTACTGACTCAAACTCTCAAAACATCACTGATATTTATCACAAACATCTCTATACTCACTCATTATTCAATGGATTTTCTCCAGGTTATTACAAGGTTTTTTTTGAGGTCACCTGAGATCCTCTCCAGTCCTGACCTCAGTAATTCTACTTACCATTAATCAGAAATTTTGTTCATGTAAAAAAAATTGAAAAATTGGCTGCAATCTTGGGACTACCTGTGCTCAAAGAGAATTTCATTCACCTTTCAAACACAAAACAGGGAACCTAAAAGCTGAGGTGGGAGTTTTGTTTCTCCTGTTTCTATCTGAATTTTTAATTTTGAAGAAAACCTGACCCCTAAAACATGATTTTCCCACTCCTCTAGATTGTTTCATCAGCACCTGGGAATTCTCAATATTGCTGTAAATATCCAACACCTTTATATATATTAATTAAATCCCAGGCCTCAGGAGTATCCATGCAAAACCCAGCTTGATTACAAACTGAATGGAACTGCTTCTGTCATAGACAATTTTTTGAAAGAATTATCTGACCTTCCTCTCAGACTAGGCACTAGTTGGTTTCTTTTTAATCTTCTCTCCATTCAGCCAACAATTCATTTTTTTCAAACCCCACCCAGATAAATTTTGCAATCAATTGCAAAATTGCAAAATTTTGCAATCCTGTTTCTTCTATAGTTCAGTGAGGTGTCCCTGTCCATGGCACAGGGGTGGAATGAAATAAACTTTAAGGTCCCTTTCAACCCAAATCATTCTAGGATTTTATGAATTTGGGCTGTATTACCCCTAAAACCACAAAGGGTATTTTCCACAGGCACTCACACTCTGATCACTTTTTATGTGTTTTTATTGCAAACATAGGTGCAGAAAATTCTCCCGGGAGATTTATGTTTTCTGAAATATAGTCAGTGAAAAAACACTGCAAAATTGGGATGGTACAGTACATTGGCTAAGCACAACACAGGAGACTGCTGTCAAAATTAACAGCCAGAAAAACCATGAAAAACAATTAAATATATACATATTATTGGGGGTTAGAACAAAATAAATGCCTCTTCCAACCCAAACCACTCTGGTAATTGTACAAATAAAACACATTACTGCATGAAAGGAATGCGTGGCGTTTTCTTAAATGTGTCTGCAAAACAACCTCTAAAACCGGGAACATGGACAGGTCAGAGGGTGAATGTCACACGGACGAGGACAAGAGGTGGAGGCAACGTCGACTCCATGAGGGCTCCCAAAACTTTGGGAACAACGCGGCGAGCAGACTTGAGAACAAGCAGCGTTCCACAGAGGCGCTTCCTAGGAACGCGGCCCAGCGGGCAGAGCCCATGGAAAGGGACATTTCGGGTTAAAGAGTCACTGAGGGACATTTCGGGTTGAAGAGTCACTGAGGGCACCTGGGGCGCTCCCGTGAGGGAGGCGAGCCGCCTTGCCGTGCCGCCCGGCAGGGGGCGCGCTCCCCGCCCCTCCCTCCGCGGGGCTCCCTCATCCCCTCAGCGGGCGATGTTGCCGCGCCACCGCCTCCACCTCCTGCTCTTCCTCCGCACCCTCCACGGCTCTGCCTTCGGCATGGGCGACTGGGCCTCCCGCCTTCCGCAGGCGGGCGAAGCGCTGCCCGGCAGGACCCAGCGCATGGCGGTGCCAGGTAAGCGCGAACTCCGCTCCCCTTCCTCTCCTTCCCCTCGTCCCCCGCTCCCGCTCGCTGCCGCCTCAGCCGCGCGCCCCTTCCCCGCGCGCCGCTTTGCGCATGCGCGGTGCCCTGGCGGCGGGGCGGGGCCGACGCGGCGCCTGCGCGCTGAGGGGCGGGACGGGGCTGTGGGAGGAACATGGCGGCGGCGGGGGGCGCGTCCCGTGAGGGGGCGACGGGGACAGGGCGGTAAATGTGCCTTGGGAAGGGGTTTGTGTTGAGGTTCGCTCGTGCAGCGGTGTTTCTTGTGTGCCGTAAGAATAGGGGTGGACGGGTTGTTGGAGCAGCTCGGCTCTTGGTGGCCCAGAGAAGCTGTGGCTGCCCCGTCACTGGAAGTGTCCAAGGCCAGGTTGGACGGGGCTTGGGAGAGTGGAAGTGTCCCTGCCCATGGCAGGGGAGTGGAACGAAATGAGGTTTAAGATTCTTTTCCACCCAAACCATCCTGTGATTATTTTCTATAATTTCTCTTTGCTATATATGAATTTTCTCTTTTTATTTTTTACTGAACGTGGCAGCAGGGTTTTGAGCAGATTTCGTTAGCCCTCACTGTTTTCGTTAAATAATAATACTTAAAAATAAAACCATGACACACTGCGTATGTTCCGTGGGTGTTTTAGGAAGACATCTTTCTCTGTGAGGGTGGTGAGGCCCTGCACAGGTTTTCCAGAGAAGCTGTGGCTGCCCCTGGATCCCTGGAAGTGTCCAGGGCCAGGCTGGACAGAGCTTGGAACAACCTGGGACAGTGCAAAGTGTCCCTGTTCATAGCAGGGGATGAAATGAGATGAGCTTTAAGGTCCCTTCCAACCCAAATAATTTTGTGATTCTGTTTGCAAAGTGCTTTTAAGTTCTTAATAATTTCTCCTATTATTTTTCTCCTTTGAGTCGCTGTGTGCTGTCAGGTAAGCAAACTAGCAGCCCAGAATGAATGAATTTACTTTCCAGTCCTCCTAGGAACTGAAGGTGTTCCGAGATGACTCTCAGTGCTGTTCAGGAGGAGTTTTAGTGGCACTGAGGTGCTCTAACACAGGTACTGGATAGCTCACATATGAGGTATTTATTGAACAAGGTGTTATTTACACGTATCTTTGCTGCAGGCTCCTATGGACCCTAAGAAAGTATGAGAACTTAGGGCTTAAAATAAATACTTAACCACCTTAAGTGCATAAGTGCTGGTGGAAGAATTATAAATGGATGATGGCATAAGCCCAGTGGTCAAGAGGATAATAAAATCATGCATGTTATAGATACTTAGTAAAAAGCTGAAGGTAGTGGTGAAATAAAAGGTAGCAGGAAGAATGTAATTTCTGATGTAGAGAAAATGGACTCAAAGGAGGGGTGCAGAGGTGGGGTTTGTGCAAATACAGGAGTGCCAGAGATGGCACTAACAGTTGCACATTGCCTGGATTAAAGTGGCAGCTTGAGGTTGTTTGTTGAGAAAGCAGAAGACACTCCAAGCTCATTTTATGCTGAGTAACTGCACAGGTAGAATAATTTTGGGCTGCTGTAGAAAAAGCATCCTGATAAGAGCAAATGCAATTTTTTAAAGTGTTTTTCTGTGGATAAATGTGGTATTACATATTAAAATGTAAATTGCTCAGAAAAGAATGGCAATTAAAATTTAGGCTGATGATCAACTCAAGGCTGATTGACCTTGCAGACCCTTGCCATGTTAATAATGTTTGTGGGTCAGGAACCAGAACTGGACCTGGTGTTCCAGGTGAATTCTTACCAGTACAGCACAGAGTGGAGGGATTTTTCTTTTCTCTGCTGTCCAGAGTTTGCTTTCTCTGTGGAAATGTGCACTGTGAGCACATTTAACCTGGCATCCAGCAGAACCACAGCTCCTTCCCAGCAGCTCTGAGATCATCCTGCTCTTGCTGTTGACCTCCCTGAGGTTTCTGTTGGTGTAGACCTGGAATTGTTCCAGGTCTCCTCTGCTGTTTGCTGTGTCTGCTCTGGCTGTGTGTTTAACGCTGCCCTCAGATCTGCTGAGCGTGTTTTCTGTCACATCACTCACTTTGCTCTTTCAGCTATCGAGTGATTCTGGCCCCAGCAGCAGCCCCTGGGGTCACCTGCTGCCCACCAGACATGGAGGTATCGATCCCTGCCTGTGGAGGCTGCTGCTCCTTGCCATTTTTGATGTGCAGGCTGTTCCTCCAGCCAGGACTTTGTCAGCTTCCACAGCCAATGCTGGGAGAGGGGGTGTCAGAACCCTGCTGAAGTCAACATGTGCTACAGCCACTGCTCTGCAGAGTCATCATTTCAGCCTGAAAGGGCAGCTCAGCTGGACAAGCCTTTGGTAAATGTGTTGGTTGTTCCTGATTACTTTCTTGTTCCCTGATTGGAAATAATTTCCAAGAGGGCATTCTCCATGATATCTTCTGAGACTGAACTGAAGCTGAGCATCCTGTACCCCCTCAGTTCTGTTTTTCCCTTTCTTAGCAGCAGTTGTTACTGTAGCCCAGTTTTCATCATCAGAGGTCCCAAATCACTGTGGTTTTTCATTATTTCTGATCCATCACGGTGTTCTGATGGCCTCACCAGCAAACTTGGCCTCTCAGCTCTGGAAAAACTCATAGGGCTCCTTGGATTTAAACACATTTAGCTTCTTTAAGTAACCATAACCCATTTTTCCTCACGTTGTTTGGTTATTTTCTTTCTGACTGTACCAGCCTGGAGAGGTTTTGGAGCAGTTGTTGTTTCTGAAGACTTGTGCAAAAGAGGTTTTGGGTACTTCAGTCTTTTCTGCACACACTTCTGGGCTGTCTCCTGCATTCATCAGTGCACCTTGATTCTTTCTGACCTTTTTACTCCTGTAATTTTTGTGGATTCATTTCTTGTTGCCATTCCTGTCCCCAGTGAGGCTGAACTCCAGCTTTGGCCTCGCTGATTTTGTGCCTAAATGCTGAGGTAGTGCTTTTCTTTGCCTCCTTTGTTATTTGTTTTTGGTCACTGTATTTTAATCCATTAAGCAGCTCTGTGCTTCTGATGCTTTTTACTCCTGTATTTTTTGTGGATTCATTTCTTGTTGCCATTCCTGTCCCCAGTGAGGCTGAACTCCAGCTTTGGCCTCGCTGATTTTGTGCCTAAATGCTGAGGTAGTGCTTTTCTTTGCCTCCTTTGTTATTTGTTTTTGGTCACTGTATTTTAATCCATTAAGCAGCTCTGTGCTTCTGATGAAGTTCCCACTTTTTCTGCCTGATGTTTTGTTCCTTAACTCTCTTAGAAAGTTATTTTTTCCAAATTCAGACCACCTTCGTATTTTAATCCATTAAGCAACTCTGTTTCTGATGAAGTTCCCACTTTTTCTGCGTGATGTTTTGTTCCTTAACTCTCTTAGAAAGTTATTTTTTCCAAATTCAGACCACCTTGAAGAGTCTTTTTCTCCCTCTGGCAGCCTCCCAGGGGCTTCTGCCTCTCAGGGGCTGCAGCTCCAATCTCTGCTCTCTGTGACCAAGGCCCAGGGAACAGCTGGGGCTGTGTCAGGTTTAAGCTGGATATCAGGGAAGGGTTCTTCCCCCAGAGGGTGTCGGGCACTGGAACAGCTCCCCAGGGAATGGTGACATTCCCAAGGCTGCCAGAGCTCCAGGAGCATTTGGACAATGCTCACAGGAATGCACAGGGTGGGATTGTTGGAGTGTCCTGGGCAGGGTCAGGCTCTGGACTCAGTGATTCTTGTGGGTCCTTTCCAGCTCAGGAGATTGTGTGATTCCATGATAATTCCCTATGTAAGCCAGAGCTCTACAAGTAGAAAAATGCTACCTCTGTGTACCTTTCAGCCTTCCTTTGGATCCCCGTCTCCACTGTCTTCTGGCTGCTGACAGGACTTTCCCTCTGGAGCCCTGTGCTCTCAAGGAGTTGTGTTTCAGTAGAGTGCAGCTCCCCATCCAGTTTTCCTGTGCTAGGAAGGATTATTCCTACATCCTGCATAACCTCCTGCTCCAGCTGTGTGTGCTGTGCCAGGTCTCTGATTCTTGTCACATCCGAGGTCTGTGACCACACCTGGACATCCAGGTGAGCCAAGCTCTGCCTTAGGGTGCAGACACTCGAGGGAAAGTTCTGCCAGAGCTTTCTGGACCTGCAGTGTCCATCCTCTTCACCTTCAGTGGTGCTAGCAGCCTTTTGCTTTCCTAGGTGAAGAGCTGCAGAACATTCAGCTCCTTGTCTCTTGGAGATCCCATTGATTTCCTGCTCTCATCCTGATGGGATAAAACATCCTTGGAGCTCCTTCCTTGTGCTGCAGCAACTCCATCTGCCACAGCAGAGCTGCCAAAAGTGAGGCTGCTGCTGCCACTGCTGAGATCCCTGTGGAGGAGCACCAGGCTCTTCCCAGAGTTCATCTGGAGGGAGGTTGAAGTTCCAGAGATGTTGGTGCACACTAAGGATCCAAGAAAATCATGTAGTTAGACCTGGATAAACGCTGGAAGGAGCACAGACATCAGCAAACATCACTTACTTTTTTAGTAAGCAAGTTGAGTTTATCAGCTCTTGTACAAATTTCATAATCTGGGAATTAGACTTTGTTGTGCAGCTTTCTTTCCTTGCAACAGAGCATCTGCATTCATTTTTTAAAATTACTTAACATCCTTGTATAATGGTGCAATAAGATGTTGTTCTTTATAATAAAAACACACATTATTTACTGCTTCTATCTTTCTAGTATAACTCTACTTTTCAGACTTAATTTTAGTTTGATTGCTGCTGAAACATGGCTGTGTTTTCTGAGTATGTGAGGATTTATTGCTTATGCTATTTAATGAACTATTTTATTTTATGACAGTGGTAGGAGCAGTAGTCAAGGAGCCTAAGAATGTAGACACTGAGTAACATATACATATATATTACACACACACAAAGAGAGGGTTTTTTCCTGCTAGATATCCTGAGGTAGCAATGTGCAATAAATTAAAAGGATGTTTTTCCTGCCATTCCCAATAAGTAATGTCAGAGAATATCTTACACATCTGGAGTGACTTGACTTTTTTGAGGCAGAGAAAGTTCAGCTCATGGGTAGAGAGCTTTAGGATTGTTTAAACCCATTAGGCCTCTTAGCTTTATAGCTAAAGATTAATAGAGCAGTAATTACAAATGTGAAGGAGGTCATGGTGAATTTTAGTCTGACCTTCTGTGTAAAAAAAAAAAAAAAAAGCACAGCATTGCCATGAATTAATTCTTGCTTGAATCAGATCACAGTCTTTAAAGAAAACATTGATTAAAAATGTCATTTGACAGAGGATCCACATGCTCTCCCTATTTGTCTTTTTTTACCATTCTTAAGACACTGAACAGAAATTATTGTGGTCAGACCAGTGGCTTGTGGTTTGCTTGGTACTTCAACTCACCATTAAACTATGTCCTCAAAATAAGGAATACAATGAAAAAAATAGTCATGTTTATTTCCTTTACTGATTAAAAAAATTGTAATAATGAGCAAATAAAAAATTTTTTCAGACATGAGTTCAGTATCGCTGTATTTTAGATCTAAAATAAAGATTCCTGAGATCGTACCTCAGGACAAAACCTCAAAGTTCATCTTAAGGTTTAGGAGGAAATTAATTTTTTTCAAAATTTCCACCACTTTATGAATGTGGTACAATTCTACATAATGTATTAATTAGTTGTCCATTTTTATTGAACTTGTCTGAAATATGGGCCAAAAACTGCAAGACTTGACTTCCATTGCAGTTCAGTGGAGTGTGTTGAGTAACAATGTCTTATGTGGTTTAGCACTTTGCAAATTGCAATTCACCTTTCTAACTCAGAAGAGTTACTTACTTATTTCTTTATTCTAGAACACACTCAAGCCATCAATTTCCATAAATTATTAAATTTCATTATAATTTTGTTGTGTATGCCAAGATTGAAAGCAGAATTCACAGCAGAGAAGCACCTCACCCCAGTGATTGTTTATTATCTGAAAAGACTTCTCAAATTTGTGGTTACAACTTCATTACAGGTGCATCCAGGATGAATTTCCTTGGAAATCCTGCCTATCATGGCTTTTTTTAAGTTCTCTATTTTTTTTTTGTGTGCTTTGTCAGGTAATTATATTCACACACTAAACACCTAATTTTCAAGCCAACTGTACAGCTGTAAATATGGTGCTCTTTTTGGAAAAACAGGAATTGCTTTTAGCCCCCCACTTGCAGTTTACATTTTGGAAGATGCAGCAAAGATTTAAGTCAATATAAAGAAATTTTTTTGCTGTTGTTTTGCATGTGCTTTTTTGCTCTTGGCAGCTGGAAAACAACAACCCAGAGGAAGTTAACAGGCACAGAGGATGCTGGAGAGATGGAAAGCATACAGGAAATATATTTACAGAGCTGCACATCCAGCTGCCAAATGCTGCTTTTGAGGTGGAATAACCTCGATGGAATCACCCTGCGCTTACTTATCACCTCTCACTACATCCCAGGAGAAAGGGTGACATCATTCATCACTAAACCCCTCAAAATACACAACAAAAAGTGGAAAAAAAAAAAAAAGTCTGTTGTTGGAGTCCCTGGAGTTCCTGGAGCTCTGCTTAGCATGCGGCTCACAGCCGGGGGGTGCGGAGGAAGCGCTCCCGGGGCTTCTCCTGGCAACAGCCCGGGTTGCTGGGAGACAGCAGCGCCTAAACGGGGAGAAACTTCACCCAACTGGCAGCCTCGTGCATCCAAATGAGGCTTGCTGAGGCTTCTCGTGCTGGTGCTGTAATTTCCCTCTCTGAAATGGAAAAGGGATCCAGAGGATCTTTACCTAGAGGGCTGTGTGTGGGTGCTGCTCTGAGGGATCATTCAGAGTTGTGTCATATGAGGGGTTAATTATTCCTGGGTGAAGGTAGTTGTGGTACACTGAGTTCAGGAGTTTCTCTTTGCTGCTGTTTTGAAAATGGATGTGAATGTCTGAATTTGTCAGATTCGAGGTGTTAAACCTCAACTAAAAGTATAAACACAAGGTTATATTTACTCTGGTTGTTTTTCCTGACTAGAGAATATTTCATCTGATTTTGTTTGACTCCTGAGATACATTTGGCTGCTTTGGCTGATTGTGCCCATTTATCTTTAGTGCAGGAATGACACTGCACTACACATTTAGGTAATATTGTGCCCTGGATCCCACATGTTCCTCCATAATTAAATGAATGCATATCCCAGCTACAGACATGGAATTAGGTTTCCCACTGCTTCTCTTTCCACAGCAGGCAGGAGAGTGTGGGGCAAACTTTCCATTGCAGCAGGAACAGGGTGGGACAGAGCACTGGAAGGGGCTGGGTGGTGCTGCAGCAATACCAGAGTTTGGCTGTCACAGGTACAACAGGCACTGGTGTGTTTGGTTCATCAAAAGACGTTTAAATCAGGAATTAGTGTTTAAATCAGGGAAATAATGCCCAAAATGCTGTTTTCTTCCACAGTGCAGGGTCCAGTGGCCAGCTCACATGGAGGTGCCTGTGTGATAACCAGCCAAAGACAGAGCCCTGGCTTTATATTAATGACCTGTCCATGTAGCTGCTATTCAGTATAAAGCCTTTATTTTTTTATTTATTGCCCAGGATCAAAAGCTATATTTTAATTTAACTCTCTACACCAAATACCAGTTCACACAATTAAAAATTTTTCCTTTATTTTCTTTAATTTTCCTTGTTTATGGTTGTATACGATATTGCTAATAATGAAGGAAGGAATTTCCAAAGTAGGATTATCCAAATGAGAGTGAAGTTGTTTACACATGGAACTGCAAAGGTGCAGCATCTTTAGTTCCTTAGAACACACAAGGAGTAAATAATAAAACTCCTCACATTAATTGATTTGAGATAAGATAAGTGCAGAATAGCCCTTAAGGCAGATTTAAGGTAGCTTGAATATTTCAGGTATTAATTGTGTTTTAATCCTTCTCTGTTTCTTTGATGTACAGTACTTCCTTTTGAATTTTTTCAGCTTTAAAAGCTTCTCTGGTTTAATTAATGTCTTCCTGTCAAATTTATACCTTCAAATTACAGTGGTGTACATTGCCTTAACTTCAGGTTTATGTACTTTTTATTGAATTTATTTTTACTTTGCAATCATTGAATTATTTGGCTTATAATTTATTGTGTGATAGGCATTGCTTTATTCTTCCATGCTTATCTTTTAATTATTATGTATGGAATTTCTGTGATATGGATACATTTGATTATTGCACTTATTTTGTTGCAAATTTTTATGATACGTATGAAACTTGCATTTAAATTTCCAGTACAATTAAAATAATGCACATAAATAAGCCCTTAGTACAAATCAGATAAAAACCTGTGCAATAAAACCCATCACAATCCAGGGATGGTTATTACAGTTTTGTATGTATTGCTTGTAGTTAATTCCTGCTGCATATAATGCAAAATTTGGATTAGTGGAGATTGTTTGGGTCTTTATTTTGAAGATAAGATCTTATTTTCTCTTGAGAAATGTGGCCAGGTGGATGATACCTGTATTTTTACTGGAGTTTGGGCTTGATTGCTCTGGCATTTGACTTTCTAGGAGCCTCCAGAGATGCTTTAAGGAATGCCCACATTTCAGGAATGGCTGAGAGGCAGAACTCCAGTGGAAACAAATTTTTTTAGTGTCCTCAATGTGAGACAGAAATCCCTCATCTTGAGGGTGTTTGTTTAGGCTTGAGGACTTTGGGAGTAGAGATTTGGTGCCTGAGCCTCTGGCTCAAAACTTTTAGGAAGCCAGTGAGGAGTGAGAAATGTGCAAGGGACAGACAGTGGAAGTGTCTTCGTGTTTCTGACATTGCCCATCAGTGTTTACAGGCTGGGAAATGTACTTTTTAGTTAATCAAACATTAAACTCCTGAAAATTTCATCCCAGAGCTCCCTAAAGTGGGAGCAGGATTCGAGGGAGTCTGGCATTGATGACTTAGCAGGCTGAGGGAGGAGAGGGATGACCCCAGACAGCCCTTGGTGGGACTGGCAGGGACTGGTACCTGTGTATGGCAGAATGGGATCACAGGACGATCCAGGCTGGAAGGGACTTCAGGAGATCACTGAGATTGGGATCAGTAGATTGGCAGCTGATCTGCTCCTCTTGAAGAAAAAATGTTTGCAAGAATTTGCTCCTCCCAAATGTTGAGTTTACATTCTAAAAAATGGCAAAATTCCAAGTCAGGGAATCAATGGCTGATTCAGCAAACTGCAAAAAGATTTCATCTAAGGTCATCAGAACCAAAATAACTGCACCAGAGATAACATTACAATATACAGGGTCTGTGTGGACTATTTATATTGCTTCTTCCTTTTGTTTATGTTCTTCCTTAAGGATTCTTCTTCTTACCCTAAACAAGGATATGCAAACCTTCTTCTGCACGTAGTGAGCTTGTCCTGGGGAGCAGCAGAGATAAAATCTCATCTTGAAGAGATTGCACTCGGACAACTTCTAATAAAATAAGCTTCTCACAGAATAATAATGCTTCATTTCAGTAGGACCTTGAGTGACAATTTTCCAAGTTACCACTCAGAAAGGGAACAGGAAAGGAAAGAAATGAGTAGGCAAACCAAGTGTAGAGGGTGGATTCTTAAGCAGAATGTCCTAATATGTTCTAATACATCTTTATACAAAGAAGAAAAATACAAGATGACCTAGAGATAACTTTACAGTTGGTTCATAAGATATTAATTTCAGAAAATCAAAACTTAGAAAATATCCCTTTTTAAAAACAATTTTGGGATGTTCTAACCATCCACTTTGTTAGCATTTTTCATAAATCCTGTCATAAAGGAGTATAACTGCTCTGGAGTCCAGCTGCATCCTCTGCAATGAAGGAGCAGGACCAACAGCCCATCTGTTTGCCACATTCAGTTCTGAAGTTCTGCTTCTGAAAGGTCTTCTCATGTTGTTGGCAGCTGAACACAGTTCCTGTTTAAAACCTGAGTTTTGATGGGATTTGGGGTAGGACCTCACACCTCGTATCTCCCCGTTGAGTGGCTTTAATGCATTTGTTCTCTTACCAGTTGTCTACACTTCTTGCTGTTTGATGTAACCTGGTCCCTTGTGCCATTGTTAGCCATCAAATTGCTTTTTTTTTTTTGACCTGAAAGATGCTGTCATTTACTGGAGGAGGATCCCATCCCACGCAGGAAAAGCTGGATGCAGCCTAACGCTGCATTCCAGTGTGGGAATTGCAGATTGTTT